TTAACAACTGAGCCACCCAGACACCTCTCAATATCAGTTTCTAGTATTTCTTTCTAAAAAAACCTCTCTATATAATACAGGTACCAAAAAATGTAAAATATTATAATTATTCTTACGAGCAAAATATATCCATACTCTTAAGGAGGGACATTTAAAGACATCAGATAAGAATAACAAAAATAGTGAGAAGCACATTGAAAAAGTTTAGCTAGATCCCCAAGATAGCAGCTATTTTAAGAGAAATGAATTCAGAGCGGATGAAAATGGGGTCTTGTGTCTCGACGAGCAGTGTTGTCTACAGCCTCTGTCTGAGCTCCTTCGAAGGGACTTGTGTTCACGCCCGTCAGTCCCTGCAAAAACAGGGTAATTGTCTGTAACCACCAACAGGTGAGCCGGTGGGTAAATGTTCATCATCTGCCAGTGATATCAAGAAGTAAGCGGCTATAATCATTTTCCTCTCAAGGCAGTCTTCCTTTATTTTTAAATTAAATTAAATTAAATTAAATTAAATTTTATTATTTATTTGAGAGAGACAAAGAGAGGGAGAGTGGGAGGGAAAAGCAGGCTCCCCGCTGAGCAGGGGGCCCTATGTGGGACTCAATCCCAGGACCTGGGGATCCCCACCTGAGGCGAAGACAGATGCTTGACTGACTGAGCCACCCAGGTTCCCTGGCTGCCGTTCTTATAAGAGCCATCTTATTGTTGTGGGACTTCCATTTATCCGGTGTGAGGTAGTTTTAGCGTTGTTCACATCACGTTTTGTCCTGTGGGCCAGTCATGCGAGGAGTCCAAGCATCAAATCCCCTCCAACTGTGCTTCACTATGGGGGTTGGGGGTGGATGGGCTCTGGGGTCTGGCCCAGCCACGTCCAGTCCTATAGTGGAACCTGCAGCTGTGACCAGCCACTGGGGGAAGAAGCCTAGAAAACCTCGGCTAAAAGCTGGAGGAGGAGGATTTTCTCAGGATGAAGAGGGAGGCTGGGGGAGCTTCAAAGTCATTGGGGATATCTCTGTCCCTGGTAAACAGCAAGGAAATATTAATGTAGTGTCTGACGTCCAAGACCCAGGGCTGTCGCAGCCCGCAGGAAGCTGGTATAGGCCACGGTGGGACTGTGAAAATGGCGCCGAAGTGGAATGAGAACAAGGCCTAGGAGTAGAGGAAGAGCATCGCTGGAAAGAAAATCATTTTTCCTGTCAAGTAAATAAATAAAATTCAGAAAATCATTTTTCAGAGTTGTAAGGTGGAACCAGGAACGTGTCTGGAGCAAGTACGTGGTCCCACAGTGAAACTCGGAAGGCTTCTCAGTGGCTGCATCCAGTCAGCACTGTCTTGTTGCCTCTTGTCAGGGCCGAAGGCAGCCAAGATGGCAGAGCTTTGAAATTAAGTGGAACTGACCCAAAGCCACCCCCTTGACAAACCAGAGCAATTCCCACAACCTGAAGGTAAATGAACCAACCCCCGCCTTTAGGCATAGAGTCGGAGCAAATTAGCTAGCTATATGTAAGAGGAATGAAATTAACGTCATATTTTCTAAGTAAGAAATTTATTTGATCAAATGACAGTCTATGGAGATATTTTCAACTCTAAGGCCCTATTCAGACAAAATGTCAATTGATTTTGAAGTAAATGGTATCAATGTCGATGGCACCTAAAAACAGACTGAGTTTCCTATAAATGTGTCTGTATAAAGCATTCATAAAATCCTCGTGTACTTTAAAACTAGGTTGTAAGTATAACAGATTAACCTATAAATAGTGCTTAAAAGCAGGTTTCTGAAATGACACAATATATGGTTACACTGGAGGTATCCGGGGTTCCTGTGAGGATCAAAGAAAGGCTGTCTGTGAGGAAATGTGTCATCCTTGGAGCAAAACTGACGCGTGATTACACGGCAGCCTTGAGTTCCCAGCACACTACCCTGTTCTTTCAGGTCCTCGGGAACTGAGATCAAATGGGTGGGAATTTCTAACCACTGCTGGAAATAAGTAGAAAAGGAGGTTGGGAAACCAGGGTTGGAAAAAAGGGAGGCGAAATGGAGGCATGGCGAGGTCTGAGGTTTCTGCAAAGAGGCTTTAGAAATGTCCAAAGAAATGGGTACAGGAAATAAAGAACTGTGACCCCTCGGAGCTGGTCTCTGGGGTACACAGGGAGGTGGGCACCGAGCAGTACTCGGGCTGCCCCGCACATCCCAACTCTCATTGGGCTCCATCCACATACTGGCAGGACGATTTTCCTGTAAGGCTGGAGTCATTCCCCGGGTGCACCAGGGACAGGGCAGCATGTGTAGGTTACATCAACTTTTCCCAAAGATTTTTTTCCAGCATTCAAGGAACTCTGCCTTTGGGGCCAGGATAGGACCCGGGAACCAGGAATCGGCAGTGCCAGGTTATAAAACGAGAAATGTTTCAGACACATGGAAGGAGAACCAGATATGAAGAAGGCGGTGTCTCCCGGGGAACACACTATTGGCAGCGAAACACAAAGGTGTCCAATGGTGACAGGGCAACTGAACCATGGAGAGCAGTGGAAAAGACCCGGGAAAGCAAAGGGCAGTAGCTGACAATCATATAGCACCCATTATTACTAATTTAAGATATATAAACATCATTGGGTTTCTTGATTCAGAGTCCAGAGTGCTCACCATTACACCATGGAACCGCCCATCATTGGGTTTCTATCTAGTGTCTGTGCTATTATCTTATAAATATAAATATGAGGGCTTTCAAAATATTACAAATGACACATACATCCTTCTGTAAATGTTACACTCCTGAATCCTACAACATACTCGGTGTTGCATTTAAACCTAGTAGATGTGGGGTTATATATATAGAATAATTTTTGGAGATCATTTTCTGAGCCTCGGTCACACAGCTAAGTGAACACCAAAAAACACAAGAAGCATTTTATCAGTGGCTTTGGCAGCAAACGCATTTTTTTTTTTTGTCTATGTATTTATGCCTTTCACAAAGATACACTTGTTCACTGGTATAAATGAATTCAAAGCCATCCACAGGAGATCTTAGAACTTAAAACTCTTTTCTGTATTCTTATCTGCTTCTTTGCTATCGAGTCTATGTGGGAGGGCGGGAGGGCTAGCCAGTGGCCGGCACCTCCTTTTCTCCAAGCCTCATTGTCTTCCTCAGAAGTGTGTATTTAAAAATAGGTTCATGTTTCCCATTCAGGCTAAGTGGTTCTTTTAAGATTCCTCAGCTCGAGATTACAATCTGTTATGAATGGCGCTGATGTGCGCGCATGCGCACACACGGGTTTTAATAAACAGTGAATTCCAATCGTCTGGTTTTAGCAGCGTGCCTTTAAAAATGTTTGTTCCTGGTGCTGCAGAAAATAGCCTCCCAACACGCGCAGCTTGGTCATTAGAGAGGACCCTTCCCACGGTCTCAGCTCGACAAAATGGGACACACCTGAACATGAGTCAGGTTAAGAAAGCCCAAGCTTCTGTGGATCCACAGAACATTACAGACGTGGCCTCAGCAGAATCTAAAATTACTTTCTCTTCAGGGAAGGGTGTCATGTCTAATTACTTTATAGAGTGATTTTGCAAATTAGTCTTATGCATGTGGAAACTAAATGGTCCACATGACCTTACCCAGACAGTTAGAGGAAAGCAGTACCAGCGCCATTAGTTACAGTTACCGCACGTGGGGTCTCAGGCAGGCAAGGGACCTCCGACCAAATGAATCTCTACAATCTTAAAGCTAAGGCTGTCATTCACCTGTGCTTCATTTCCCCCAATACACTGATAATTTAGGAAACTAAAGAGGCCGTGCTAAGGTGAAGTGAAATCAGCCTTTCCACTGTGGCGCTAATAAGGCAACATTTGATAGAGATGTTAGGAGCTAGATCCCCCCTTCGGTGGAAATTTTCTTAACGAGGGACCGAGCATGAAAATTTAACTCCAGTGAAATTACTAACATAATTAGCCTTTAAAAAGTGGATTTAGGAAAGGGAGGTGACCCTCGAGTAGCTTATCTACCTTCTCTGAGAGAAATCACCTCTTGGCAAGACAGGCTGCTTTGGGCTCAGCTTACCCAAAAGTAATTTCATTGGGAACTTTTTTCTAGCTATTTAATATAACGGAGGACTGACTCAACTGGGTTCTAGTGAATGAAATAAAAACATCATGGCGTATGACGTAGTGCAGTCGATCAAAGGGGTTCTCCCAGCTGAGTGCCTCAGTCACACTGACCAGTCTGACCAATGATTTCAGCCAACTTCCCACTTCCCATCACTGTTTCCTGGAACACGATTCCAGGAGAAAAGAGAGATTTACAGTCAAGGCCCTCACAGCAACATCTAGGTTGGGTGCCCATGACATGGCTTTGGTCTGCCCCCAAAGCTCTGTCACATTTGCATCCCCAGCACTGGCTATTTGGCACATTTTAAGGAACATCTATGGCTCTGGAGGAACTGTCTGAAACTTCAGACCACAGAATGAAAATGCTCTTTCAATCGCCTCATTCTATGACACTTGCTTAGCCCCTGGACACCCTACCAAGGTAAGGTGTTCCCCACACCAGGGTGTGTGGGACAAGATGGCTCCAAATCACAGGTGAGCTGGATTTTTGCAGAAGGTCAAGCTGAGCTCTGAACTGCTTCCATCTGTTTTCTTTCCAGCTTTCGTTTCAGACATGATTGCACCAGCACACTATAAGGGTAACATGAGCCAAGGCTGATGAGTTTTGCTCATTATCCTGCTCTCTACACAATGCCCAAATAAGTAAGGTGATCTAGTGGGGTAATGTGTCTGGCCTGGGAGGAAAAATAAACACCAGCCAAATCACATCTTTCTTTACAATCTTCCAGCTAAAAATTCAGTTGAACAACACTCGAGACTCCCTGCCCTTTAATGATACCTCAACCTCAATTTCGAACTTACACTGTTTCCTAAACCTATCAAGTGGACAACCCCATTGCCACAGTGGAGAAAAAAAACTGAGGAAAATGAACCACAACTCAGGGAAAAAAAAAAAAAACCAAGTGAAAAGGCATTTGCATTGACAGAGTGCTAAGTAAAAACAATAATATATCTAGAAAACACTGTGAAAATATATATCTCAAAATAGAACTAGGTTTAGTCAGAAGGCTCAGTAAAACAATTGCTTAAAAAGCTGATCAATAAAAAGGAGAGCTAAAACAACCTTCCCATCTTTGACCCTTCCTCACTTCCCAGCCCTCAGACTACCAGTGCTACAGCAGACTAATCAAGAAGCCATGAGGAAGGGCTGGTATTTTTCAGGATCTCTTCAAGACAGATTCCATCCAGGTCCCTTGTCCTCTCTCTCTGGTCAGGGTAACTGATGGACTTTCAGTGCGTTTGGAGACACGGGCTCAAAGACCTCGTCATCATCTTCTACCCCTTCTTCGATGGGCTTCATCTTGGTAGAGCCCCGCTGGTGTGGGGACGGCACATCTGTCAGAGACACAAAGAGGAAAACCACTTACTGTCCAGCCTGCCCCAATGCTGGGATGATGTATCAATGAGAAACCCCAACCGGAAAGTAAAACTCTCTGGGAATCGATCGCTAGGACCAGGCATGCAATTCCCCTAAACATTGTATTTTCAATTCAACATTTCGAGAAAACAACGAAGTCAAGAAATGACTCTCAGTCGTGAGAACAAACATGGAATGGATTCCAGTGCCTGTGCACATGCAGTTTCAGGAGGGTTGCCCTAAAGTGTGATTAGGAATTCAGAATGCATGTTCCTACATTAATCTATGTGGTGACTTGAGTTCCTCAAAAGCTAATTTAACTCCTAATTTCCCTAAAGAAGAGTTCCATCCTAAAGCTATGGACGCTAACACCATCTGTGGCACCACCTAAAGTAGTAGTTCTTGCCACCACCTGTCCAACCACTGCCAGGACTGGTATGGGAGAGGGAGGGGTGAGGAGGAGGGAGAGAGGGGTGGGGCAGGTGGGGGGTAGTCCAGGCAAACAGGAAGGAAAAGCCAGGTGAAGAAAATACAACCCAAGTAGCAGAGGGGGCAGGAACATCCTTAAAGTCTTTTATATCCAAGAAGTGAAGTAATAAATGTCCCTCCTTTGTTTATGCGTTTGTCAGAGGCTTACTGAGCATCTACCACATAAGGGACACCATGATTGAGAGAGGAAAAAAACGTGGTTTAAAAGTAAGAGGGGTTACTAAAAATGGGTGCACAGACTTCTCAAGGTGCTTGATGAGCAGCTCCCAGAACAGCACAAACGCCCCTCCGCAAAGTTCCCACACTGAGTGTCAGGATTCATCCAGCGGGGTTCCCCCTGTCTGCCCTGTGCACAGCCGCGTGGTGCGCGTGCTGCCCTCCAACAGGGCGGAATGGTTTTCTGTCTGTCAGTCAATCAGCAAATGCCGACCTCAGGCTGGACTTAAGATTGATGATGGGAGGGGGCGCCTGGGTGGCTCAGTGGGTTAGAGTCTCTGCCTTCGGCTCAGGTCATGATCTCAGGGTCCTGGGATTGAGCCCTGCGTCCAGCTCTCTGCTCAGTAGGGAGCCTGCTTCCCCCCTCTCTCTCTGCCTGCCTCTCTGCCTACTTGTGATCTCTCTGTCAAATAAATAAATAAAATCTTTAAAAAAAAAAAAGATTGATGATGGGAGAACGATGGTGAAACCTGACTTCAAATACTTGGTATAGAGCAGAGGAGGATAGTGGGACCCGACTACGGCATGAAGCAGAGCTGCTACAAGAACTTTATCCAGATCACCTGTTAATCCCTGGCAAGCGTGGGCAGCTGACAGCAGAGGCTGTGGGCGAGGAGAACGGGCGGGGCACGGGGGTGGGGGTGGCATGCAGCACGCACCATGGTCAAGACCCCAGCCTCAAAAACAGTTCCCGGGTTCAGAACCCCGTTGTGCTGCTTCCTAGCTGTGTGATCTACGCTCCATCACTAATCCTCTCTAGGCCTCGGTTTCCATACCTGTTATAGGGAGATATTCCCAGGGCCCATCTAGTGCCATTGTTGGGGGATAAGACAAAAGAATGGGGTCATGGGCTCAGCAGGGTGCTGGGCACGTAGAAAATGCCACTCCATGTTTATGATGAGCTGCACGGTCCCAGTCACGCACTGGCGGAATGCCACTCCCAACGGCCACAGCTTCCAACATAAAAAAGTTAGGAATTAGACTGGCCTGGACTTTGGTTTAGTTGATGTGTTTGCTGTGCCTACATGGAAACTTTATTTTCTGTTACTGTTTATTTTCAAACATTTATGGTCCATTAAAATCCTGAGTTTCTTGAGAGACAACTCCTGACATTAACTGTAGATGATGAGCCTCTATTAATATGATCCAGGGACACAATTCCATCACAAACAACTGCACGGCGGAACCACCCAGGCAAGTATTTTGGTCCTTTTTCTCACAGGTGACAGCATGACCACTAGCCACAGCCTTCAATTTGCGGGTCCACTCAAATGGCAGTGAATATCCGTGTGACCTTGGGCAAGTTAATTCACGTCCCCCTGCCTCAGTTTCCCTATCTGTAAAATAGGAATCATTGCTCTTATCTACTTTGTATGGTTTTCAGAGGACTAAGTGGCTGACAGTTCTTACCTCAGTGCCTGGGATGCAGTAGTCATTTTGTGAGTTTGTAAGTTAATAAAGTGAGTTATTGATATGGTCTTTGGAGGGCAATGGCCTAAGTAATTAGAACATTTGTTAAAATTCATTATCGCCGGTAGGAATGGCAGATAAAAACACGCAGGACTTGTACTCGAATGGGGGTTTGTGTTTCTCAGTTGAAACGGTCCCACAGGCAGCAAAATTTATCTTAAAAAAGTAGCCACGGCTTCTGTCATGTGTCTAGCCTCCAGTTATGACTGAGCCTCATGAAACACTAACTCAGGCTGAGTATTTGCAGTCTGATAAAAACTCTGAACAAACAAGATGGCGTGTCTGAGAGCATTAAACCAAATCAATAAGGCAGAGGATTCAGACGTGATTGTGTAACACGCATAACAGAAACACACCCAGTTTATTTTGATGGCGGAAGTGGGACTCGTGCTCTGGATTTTAGCCCATCTATCAACAGGGGAGACATTCTACGGGACCCTGCAGCTGCCATCTACATCGGGGCCAAAGTGTTCTCTGCCCTCTCAGCTCCGTCACCAACTGGTGCGTTTCCCCACTGAGACAGAATGAAGAGAGGACCCAAGACAACTGGAAATGACCTGGTGAAAACCTTGCAAGGACTTTCAACTTCTCCATGAAAGAATTTGTTCATTCCCCAGTACACTGGCCAGGGCCAAGGAAGAGCTGTGGTGCTTACCACATAGCATTAAAAAGACAGTAGTGTGGGAACCATCCACAGTCCTGGGGTGATACCCAGCGGCCTCCAAGTTGGGCCTCCTTCCCCTTCCAGTCCAGGCTCTGGCAAACCTCACTGCTCCCCAAATCCAACTCATCCTTTCCCTCTTCTCTTGCTTTTCTTCCCACCTGGAGTGGCCTCTCCATTCCCATCCCTATTCATCAAATTCCTATCCATTCCTCAAGGTCAAGGTCAAACCCCACCTTCTTCATCTGGAGTCTTCCCTAATTCCTTACGAGGAGAGATTCCATTCCCTAGAGTCCAACAGCCCTTCTACATTCTGTAGTTCACTGTGATCACAAGTATGTAACTCTGTCCCTTACTGGAAAATAAGCACCTTGAGGGCTGTAACCACATCTTCTTCGGTCCTGCAGAAGTAGCCCCCACATAGCCATGTCCTTGATCATTACTTAGTACATGAAACTCCACATGAGGCCTTCAGGAGGCTGAGCCTGACCATGAGGCAAAGACTCATGGCCGTCACCTTTTAGTCTTGGATAGGGGTGGGGAACCACCTGTATTTCTCATGTGCAGGAAGTCTCAGGATATAGTAAAACCTTGCGATAAGAAGGGACTGTTATCACTATATTCTGTGTCATGTGCCCTGGGGAATCCTTGTCCTATAATCGACTCAGCAGAACTTACAGCATGGGCTTATAGCATAGCTTATAGCAGCACATGGCGCACAGGCAAGAGCGCTGTCCCCTCACATAAACGTCAGTAGGCTCGGCCGGATCATTTCCTGCCAAGAAGTTTTCATCCAATTAGCAAAAGGTGCCCCTGAGTGATGACAATGCGCTAGAAGCTGGGTTAAATGTCAGGGAAATAAAAATGACTTGCAGAGTCTCTGACTCGATCTTATTTTGTTTCTCAGGAACTCAACGCACTTTTCAGAGCCATTCATGCTCACATATCCACATATTTTTTCTATTTTGTACTCAGAAGCTAAAGCAAAGGCCGCCTGGAGAGCCTGTGAAAGAAAGACTCGTGGCGGGGCTGTGGTATTAGAACTTCTTCCTCACAGGAAGTGGGCCGCCCGGCAGGATCACATTCTGGCAGGATGGAGGGCTGGCCCTGCCCTGCCTGCGAGACTGCATATTCCCCCTAACGTTCTCACAGGATCCCAGATTCACTCCCACTTCAGGCTCCGGGGCTGGGTTAGAGCGCACAGGCCCCTCCGGTCCCAGTTCCCAGAGCAGCGCCCTGCGGCCCTTCCTCCCTGCCGCAGATGCGCCGGAAGGCAGCGGGCACCGGGCCTGTCGGTAACCACGGGAAGCTACCCGGAGCCAGGTGGCTGCCTGACCCAGGGATCAGGGTCGCAGAGAATGCTCACACTTTGTCCCAACCTCAGCTGGCCTGGGCCTCCTCTGCCACTGAAGGCCAAGGGTGACAGTCACCTGGTCTACCTGCAGATCTGGCACTGCTGTGGCCAGGAGGAAGTCGGGCTCTGGGGAGCAGGAGCTCACTTGCCCACACCTCCTGCTCTCCAGCCTCCGTGGGGGACCCACCGGTTTGGCGGGAAGACTCAGTCACTGTCACTATGCTGCTAGAGGTAAGCTCTTGGTCCACTAATATAGCTAAGCCCAATTTGGAGTGTGAACAACAACAAAAACCCCAAAAACTATTAAAAAAGAAGAGAGAATGTTCTGCTTCAAGGAAACTATCTTACATTTCCCAAGTTGAACATTAATAAATTCTTTCTACAAGTTTGCCTGGTTTTTCATTAATTTTATGCACCTACGCATCATCAGAAATTTGCCCAGGAGGGGCCAAACCTACCTAGATGGGCGAGCATGAGGAGAGAAGAGAGGAAGAAATTGAGCTTATCTTTAGTTAAGTGCTTTTTCAAATTATTTTTGTCCCTCAAGGTCATTACTATGAGGTAGGTACGTGACCTCCATAGGATGCTTTACTTTCCATTTATTCCAAATTCTAGGCAGGCCAATAATTCCATATCCATAAATTTTCGAAATCTGATTTCTATCCTTCCTCTAGTAAAACCGCTTTTATAGTTGGGAAACAGAAGTGTTAACTATATCCTTCGGTATTTATTATAATGAAGAAGAGATAATTAAAATTATTTTTTGCTGTTAGCTATAATCATCTTCT